ATTGCATAACTCAGAGCAGTAGAGCTGACCCAGATGACTTGGTCCTTAGTACAAATTACAGAGGTGACATGCAGAATTTCTCCAGCCTTACATATACAGTAGGCTGAGTCTACGAGGGGTCACTTAGGCCTTCAGGTTTAATAAAACACCTACTCGCACATTATTGTCCCCACTGTGCATTGCCCTACCAATCCCCCATTCCAGGCCCTTGCCCCTGAGATTTCAGAGTCTATTAGGTCAGTTTGCTGACTTCCTCTGAAATCCCCAGCATCTTTCATCCATCTGCCTCCTCGTTTCCCTCCCTTGTGAATGCCTGCTGCTCAGGTATCAAGTGATTTCCACAGTCAGCGTAAGTCAAATACAAAGGACGATCCACCATTTCTTCATTCACAAATATTTATTGAGCACCTACTATGTGCCACACCATGTTAGGCTCTGGGATGCAAGTGAAATAAGATATCACCCCTGCCCTCATGGAGCTTACAATCTAGCAGGGGAAACAGACAATACACAGTAAACTAATACATAAAATAAACACAGGTTGTGCTATCTGCCATATAGGATATAAACAGTGGTAAGATTAGAATAGTTAGGAAACACCTCCTTTTTAGATAGAATGGTCAAAGAAGGCCTCTCTGAGAAGGTAGTTAAAAACTGGGTATGAAACCTGGCTCCCCGCTTACGATCTACATGACCTTAGGCAAGTCACTTACCCTCTCAGAATCTGTTTCCACATTTGTAGAATGGAGATAATCGTATCAAACTCAAGAAACGCTCATTACTGTGAATGATCATGAAAACTCAATGACTTCTTGCTATTTTACAAGGCTTTTCATATCTTACATACTTCTCTTAATATTACTTAGCAAATTTCTAGCTATCCTGAACATTCTTAGTTCTCTCTTTATCTGTGTGCTCCTATAGCACCCTGTACCTTTTACCACTGCACTGTAATCTCCCTATTCACTTATCTGTATATTCTACTGGGTCTGAGGACATGTTGAAGGCTGTGATAATGAAGGAGTCTAAGTTGGACAAGAAGTACAAAGAAAACAAAGGGTTAAACAGTGGTAGGGAGTTTCAATGGAAGAAAATGTTGAAGGTGAGGTAACCAAAAATCTCACTGGCCAGGGCGTTGGATCATCCACCAGAACACTGAAGATACTGAGAATACGAAAGAATCGGAGATGGCAAAGCGTGCTGTGAGTTAGGAAGTGAGGCCTTCAGGAAATCAAAGGAGTGATCAGTGGCAAGAGTAGAGGTAACTGATAGTATAACTTCTTGGCATAGGCTGCAAAAGGGGCAGATTTTTGTCAGAAGCTTTGGGAGAAATTATTTAGAAGTTACAATAGAGAGGAAGGGCAGCAACCACCATCTCCTGAGATACATGGAATGTGGACGCAGCCCACACTGGTGAGAGCTCCAGGCTACGGCAGGCCTTCAGGTGACAGCCGAACTGGTTATGGCAAAGCAGTCAAGAGAAAAATCAAAAGAACGACCTGCAGCCAAGCATGGATTAGGGAGGAGAGCGGGAGGGTAGGCAATTGGGAGTGACTAGAATACATATAGAAGGGAGACAAGTGAAGGTGAAAACGGAGGACAAGGGAAGTTTGCACTTAAGACTGCAGAACAGATAAGCTTCTTGGACACTCCCTTTCTGAAATCTCACCCTTCCCATCAAACTCACCACTGTCTCCCCTAAATGACTAACGTCCAGTCTAACTGCCTCCTGTCTCGTAATATCACCATTATCCTGGTTACCCAGGCTTGAGAAACGGACTCAGCCCTTACTCCTATAACCACTCAGACACTGAATCTTGAGTCTTCCTTTGAAATGGCTCCAGCACCCCCTCCTTCCTTATTCCTGTGGCCATCACCTGAAATCAGTTCTCATAATTTTATGTCTAGATTACCGTATCAGTCTCCCAAATAGCCTACCTAATTAGTGTCACTTCAGTTTAGTCAGAAGGCTTTGGAGGTACGTCTGTTTCAGGATGCCAAGTCCACTGCGAAATTTACGTTTCTTCCTTTGCAAAACAGAGAGAATACTACTTTCCTTTGAAGGACCATGGTAAGGAATGTGACATTTTTGTAAGGTTCTTAGCATGTCTGTTAGTAGGTAAGAATTCCTGAGCTTTGAAAACTTGATTATAACCCTTTTGAAGTATGGGACCAGATCTTTTATACTACTCTACCCCACATACACTTACAAAACACGCTGAATATTTGTTGAATAGTTTGATGAAGGCCAAAATAAGAGGGATATTTTACAACACAACAACACTCTTCTTCACATAAAAAGAGTTGAGCTTTGAGAACACAAAAGCAGCCTTCAAATCCATTCAAAAAGAAAAAGCAGCCTGGGAAATGTGGTATGCCAATCAAGAAAATAACACCTTGAGCATCCGAAGATGGCAATCTGTTTTTCTTTCCCCAGAGCGGCCCTGAGAACACCAATATGGGACTGAAAACACAAAAAGACAAAGTGAAAAAGCAAAGCTTAGCTCTGCTTTTGTTGTTTCAGCCTTACCACTCTTCCAGTTTGGTTTGGACTGCCTCTGGCTCAGAAGATCCTACTGGCTTTGGGGAGCTCAGAAAGGCCAAAATGGAGCCTACAGGAAGAGGAAAAAAAAGAGAGCTGGCTACCAAGGGCTGGCCCCAGGCACAAAAGATTTAAGAAAAGGCAAGATTTTCTAACTAAAAACAGAAAATGTAGTGTAACAATGGGCTACTTCATAGTGCAAGTAAAACTATGTAAAAAATCATTTGGATATCCTTATGTAGGTGTTTCTGGAACATATCAGATACATATATTTGAAACTGAGACATTCCAGGAAAGTCTCTGCCCATTATCTCCAAATCAGTTTCCCCAGCTCACCAAGGTCAGAAGGTGGAGGGTCTTAATGCAGATGTCTGCATAGAGCTAAATAGCACATATTCTTGGAAACTATGGTTAGACAGTTCGTCTCATACCAAATGGTTACAGTATAACTTAGTAAAACCACTTGGAAAAATGACAGGAATCAAAAACTACAAAGTATTTACATCCTTGACTCAGAAATTCACCTCTAGGAATTTATTCTAAGGAAATCATTTATGCACAAAGACATGAACTGTAACACTGCATCATGAGATGCAACCTAAGATGTCCAACAGGGAAAGGTAACAGGAAGCATGGCATATCCATACAGAATAGTTTTTAATGACATGGAATAATGCCTGTAGATTGAGAAAAAAATCAAGGCACAAATTATACCGAGAATGAATGAAACTACGTAAAATCGCAGACAAGTAGCTAAAAGACTGGCAAGAAATATGCAAAAACAGTAAAGTGCCCTTTTCCCCTTTTCTGTATTGTCTAGATTTCCCCCAATAAGCATGTATTACTAAACATAAACAGAAAAAAAGCATTATTGAGTCAGGCAAGCATTAAAGAATGGGCATTTATATTTAGCCTAATCTGTTTCTCCTAGGAATTGGAGCGTGGTTCTTAACAACAAAAAAGCAGGGGCTTACAAACCAGTCATTCTTAAAAAAGCAGAGGAAGTATTAAATTCTTTCCACAAGTTTCACCATATTCGTGTAGAACTGCAGCAGAAAAGATGGTGAATCAGGTTCAGACATCAATCACCAACCTAAATGACAACTCCATGCTCCCACAAGACACAGATCCACGGTCACAAAATACAATGTCAGACCCAAGTTTAAATGGCATACTGCTCTACATTTTCCAAGATGAAAAAGATTAGGAAAATAAAAGCATTTACTTGGGGGTGGGGGTGGGGGAGAGACTTTTTTTTTTTTTTTAACACCCATTGGGGGCTAGAGAGAAATGAAAGACAAAGCTGAGAACTAATGCTTTATAAAATTCAACTTTACTTAAAAAGACAAAATGTAACAATAAATACTTTTTTGGCAGAAGAAAAGCAGACAACTCAGTTACTAAATGACGGATGTCCAAGACTCGTCTGAAGGCAGAATGGTTCAAAGGTCAGAATCCAAAGTCAGAATAGTCTCTGTTGAATATCATTCATTTAAAATCCAACATCTTACCTTTCTTCAAATTCTTTAAGTGTCTACCCTATGGAAATTTGTTTTATACCAAGAGTTATGGGTCTCCTTATTTATACTCACACTCTTTCCCCAAATCATGATTTTCATTCTAGCTTTCCTGATTCTACTGTTTTGTTTGGCCTTCATAATTATTCCATGATAGATGCAAAGAATTTATACCTTCTGGGCAGAAATGGAAACAGAATCCTAAAGCGGCTCACCTAAGGGTCAGAAAGTCAGCGAATGTAAGCAGACCTTAGGTGTGAAGCTACATTCAGCACCCATTACATTGTCACGAGTTACCAAAGCAAGGAAATCCTTTAACATTTCTATGTGAATAAAGATAAAAATACAGGTTGGCTAAGTGTTTGTAAGAGACTAATAACTGCAGTTCCTTTCCTTAAACATAGTCACTGGTTGGCTGACATCTAAGTAACAGCTATAGATGACCTCCTCTGAGACTGAATTATACTTGGTTGAGCAGATATCTGGACTAGTAAAAGAAACTGCTACAAAATCAGAGCCTCAATAAAAAATATTTAGTGACCATTCTAAAAAAAGGACAGTGGCTTAATAAGCATGTTGTTGTCACAGGGCCAAAAGCATAAAGAAAAGTACTCACCTTCAAATATACATACACAAAAGTCTCAATTTTAAGATTATAAACTTAAAAGTATATTTTAAAAAATGTTAGTCGCCTGTATGAGATAAATTAAAAATTTATGTAATTCAGTGTAAAGCACCAAAAATGAACAATAAAACTGTTCACATAAAACAGTGAAAAGGAAACAAAGCACAACTATAAAAGCACAGAGGTACCATTTACAAGAACCAAGTAAATAAACTAATTTCTATTAATTTTTTTCATTTACCTGATAAAACTGTTGGTTAAACTGGGGAGGGGAGGGTCTCTGAGCATCTAAAGGGTAACAAAATGGTAACAAATATACAGCATTTCTTTATTAACAAATTATACCACACAAATCAGGTTATTTTTTCTATCTGATTACAGAGTTAACAGAACTTGCATCCATATTTAGAGCAGCAACATAAAATTTTACTAGGAAGAAATTCTGTATCTGGACCAAAGGACTGTAACGTGGACGAAGAAGGTAAAACTGGCAACTATGATGCAACTACTGCAAGAAGATTCAGGTTCGTTTTCCATGCTTATAACTCTCCAAAAGGGATAATACATTAAGGGGATAATGCAGCCAAAGAAGGGATGATGTAGAAAATCACAAGAAATTAAATGAGTACAAAAAGAGCACAGGGGCGGGGGGGGGGGGGGTGCGGCATGAGAACTTGAGAAGGTGTGAAAAACCAAGCAGTGACAAGTCAGCTCCCTGGAGTTGCACCAACCCAGATTGTTCCCTATCCGAACTGAAATTGGTGGACTCTTCATCTGGGCACTTCAGCTTGAGAAATCAGTTAGATTAATCATTTTTAACACAGGTTTATTTTTAAAGTAGATACAGCTTAAGAAGAGAAAGCTAAATATTAGGGAAGTATTAAGTCCTTCAGAACTTAAAATTCTGCAGCCAAATGAAAGCAAAGTATAAAATTTGGATAAAAATGTTTCTCTAAGGGTAAAACAGTTTTCTGAGAGATTTTAAAACCAAACACACAGTAAGAGAGTGGTTTTCAAAGTGGGTTTCAGGCCCATCCTCTCCTCTTCAAACCTTTCTTATATTCAAACATTTCTAATTCTGTTTTGTCTTTTGTGGCTTCAGGAAAGATTTCCTTTTAAAAAAAGGAAAGGGAAATCTGATGCCATCCCCATCCCCTTGCTACTGTTTGTTCTTTAAGTTTGAAAATCACTGCTATGAGAAAAATGAGATCTAAAACATATTTTGTCAGTGTTACTAAACTGAAAAGTTTCAACACAGATCTGTACATTATCCTGTAAAATAAACGAGCAAAAGAAGTTCTTAGGAAGAAATTAAACTTTGCTATTCCCACCGCCCCTAAATCTGTTCTTCCACTGCCTCCAACCTCTCAATATTTCTAGACAGTGTGAACAAAATTCTAACAAACATTCCAGCCCACACCTTAATCTAAAAACATTTCATTTGATGGCTGCAGGGAATTTTTTTTTGAGAAGGTAAGCCCCCAATTTATAGAAACCTCTAGAATAAGACTGTATGATTACCAAAATAACACACATTACATCAGGGAAGACTCTGCATAGGGTTTCTTCAACATAATCACTAATAATAAAGAAAAGCCAAATCCCAGAACTTCACTCTGTATTCATCAGCACACAATACCAAAGTGTAAACAACAACCAGGGGAAAATGCTTAACACAAAGGCCATTTTTCTTTGATGGAATCGGGGAGAAAAGTGGAACTGCAGGAAGAAAAGTGGAACCCAAGCTTTGGCCACTTATCAAGACTTCATTACTTCAACGAAATAGAACAAATCTCCACGGAAAGGGCTCATTTGGCAAACGTAACTTCTTTCCATATATTTTTCCTTCACATCAGATTAAACAAACCTTGTCATTTCAGAATCACTGATTACATCTTTTTTTAATTAGAAAAAAGTTTACTTGAATATTTACATAACTTTATTGCTGTTTATTACAACAAAAAAAATTTTAACTGATTTGTAGAATCCAACCAGTATCATATGAAATTGAAATCCATCTCTCAAGAAGATGCAGTTACAGCTGAATGTATCTGATGCTCAGAGTACAGCATGAATAAGAAAAATCCTTGCATGTCATGTGGTTCTTGCTGCAGTCATCTGTGTTCATCTCTCAGAAGGCAAAAGAATCCATTTGACACTTCAATAAATATCAAAGTAATCGTTACCAAAAAAATAGCTTCCACGGACCAGAGATCCAAGAAACAGCAGTTTTAATGAATGATTCCTAGAATCGAGTGAGTCCTCCTTTAGTCCAATGAGATGATGTCAGGAATGTTACTTCCACTGCTGGTTATGACCCCTGTATCACTCCTGCTGCTGGATGAACTAACATGAGTACTGCTTTCATGGGGGCTGGTGGTGGTGACAGACGTACTGCTTGCTGTTAAGGGTGAGGTGAGACTATCCAAAAACATAGGAGGACAGTACTGCTTGAAACAAACAATGATGTCGATGAGGAAGAGGCTACATTGATTTTAAATATAGAGACTAGAAATTGTTAGATATGCACAAGTGATAGCCACATATTTAAATCTCAGTGGGACTTAAAAACTTCTCAAAACTTCACATCTTTGTATGGAAGATGGCATGAATTTTAACATTTTACATTATTTTGTGAGTGCAGCATATTCCTGATTGTCTCAAAACTCACAGAATTTGTGACCAAATATGTAGTAGTACAAAAATGTCAACAATAACTAAAGTTATTTAATACTAAATATTGGCCCCAAAATTATGACTCATACTTAATCTCAAAAAGAATTTGCTCACTAAATGTATTTATACCAGATTTAAAACACACTGTAAAAGGCTAATAAACTTATTTTTAATGGTGTTAAGAAAAATGCTAATGCAAAATTCAGTAATTCTCTCAAAATTTAGTATTAATCAGACCCTTAAGGAATAATGTTAAGACTGATCAGCGGGAAGGCAGCATCTGACTCCTTTGTACATACACGTAACAGAACCTGTGTAATTAGAAGATAGCATACATTCTAACATAGAGACTACATGGTAGCTAACTACCACGGGATGCTCAGAAAGAGAGGTATCTCAGGTATTCACAAAATTTTGGAATAAATCTTAAAGGAAATCTAATCTAATCTAATTTCCTTTGAGATGCTTGCTTGACACCCCCTTCCAACTGTTCAAATTTCTGGTTTCTTTAACATCTTAGTTGCTGATTCCCAAACTAATTCCGACCTGAGTTTAGTACTCTAATATTGACCTGGAGGAACAGAGGGAGACAAGAGCTAAAAGCTTTATATCACCATAGAATATTTTATGTGAGAGACAACTGCACTGACTTGATTGAGATAAGTGAGGTCCAGTATACAAGAGAGGTCCTAAGTCTGTGTTTAGATTGACTGTATGAAAGAAGATCAGTAAGGATATCCGATCAATATTATCAATTCTATATATTATTCAGCCTATCATCAGAGATATTAAAAACAGAAATTTAAAACTGAAGTTGTTTAGACTACATGATCTTCTAAAAGACCATAAAATGGGAACAACGGCCCCAGGTTTAAGGCTGCCAGTCAGTGGAAGGGCAACAACTAAACTTCAGGGTGCCTTTTAAAAAAGTTAACTTAATGTTTAGGATGGACAATTGTCTTGGTTCATCAACAAAACGAATGCCAGGCACAAAGACATTCAAGGGGAGTTCTTAAAGAGCTTCTAAGAACCTCTAAAGAGAGTTGCATTGTCAGGTATTAAACTTCTTTAAAATCAATTTCTAATTTTCCACTAAAATTGAGCCAAGAATCTGGAAAAAGCCCAGAAAGTTAACATTTTATTTCTACTACCTCTGAGGGAGTTTTTGACCACCTAGGAGTAAAAAGGTACCCTTCTTCATTTGTATAATGAATGCTAGATACTACAGTCCTGCTATCAATAGCCTCTACATCTTGAAATCTTACAATACTCAGGTTGCAGCCAATCTAACTCTGTAGCCTTTATGTGTAATTTGAACACATCTGCATAAGGATAACAGGGATTAAGGGGGCAATGTGGAGGTAAAGTAGAACAAATCTAAGGATTCAAGGAAAACTGAAAGCACAACCTTACCCTTCATTTGGCTTAGCAACAAGTTAGCCTGACACCAAGCATGCTAAATAGCCCTATAAAATCAAAATCCTCTAGGTTAAAAGATCTTTTTTTTAAAAAAGGATGATTCACATTAAAAACAGTAATACTTTAAGCCTGAAGAATCTATTTCCTTAAAAAACAGATAGATATTTTGCTATAGAATCTACTGCTGTAACAAAGTCAACTCAAGGTGAGAAGAAACTCCTCATTCTGTGCCTGTTACCTTGGGCCCAAATTTCCAGTGCTGTTTATGTGATCAAATACAGAGTACTGAACCAGGAAGCTGATACAAGACCTGTGGTTAGCTGATTCTGAGCAGCCTACAAAGCAGTGGTGCATGGCTCGTCCTCTATCCCTCCCTACTCTCAACACTTCTCTCAAAGTCTCTTTCTCTGTTTTGCTCTTCCCTTCAGCTTTTCCCATGCCTTTTCCTCCTCTGCTCTGCCTCTGCTATAAGCCTTATCAGTGGAGTCCACACTCATTGCAAGGTCTTCATGTTGGGACGCTGGGATACTAGAGTTTCTTATCTCTGACAAAGAAAACAGGAATGACTGGTTTATAGCAATTTTAGATTAGGGCATCTCCAAAGTCTGAATCTGATTGCCTTTAAAAACAAGGAAGAATCAAGCTAATGATTCAGTCTGTTTAATCAGCATCAGCTATTTTCTATGTATAGAGCAAGTGTTTTACAACTTGTCTCTATAAGGTTTTAACTTCCAGTCATTGAGCACTGCTTCCCCTCATTTTAATCACTCAAATGCTCGTAAGAAATGCCAACTGATTATATTAAACTAAATAAAATATAATTTAAACTTCCAGTATTAAAGGCCAAAATATAATAAACTGAGAACTAGCAACTTCATCCCTCCAAGTAAAATTGTGAAATATTTATATAGTATTTCCTTTCCATCAATTTAAGTAACTGAGAGTTGACTGTCCTGATTTTATGCAACTGGTCATTTTTAGTTAGTATGACACAACCAACAATCAAATACAAATTAGTTGCTTAAATTCAGGATACATACCTGGGGATCAACTGGAATAAGGGAAAGAAAATCCAAACCTAAAACAAAAATGTTCTGTTAATAGTTGTCTCATATGTTGGAGACAAGAATTATTTCCCTAAATCATTTTTTATTTATCTTAAGTCATAAAACATTTGGGTTAAGGTCTTACCATTCTGCCATAGGGAAGGTCTATACCACAATCAGGATATTTATGTGGATAAAACCCAAAAATGAACATATTTCCTAACAAAACAACTAGAAAAACCGCCTCCCAGAGACTTAAAGGGGGCAGTCCAAAATTTTTCAGATAAATAGGACTAGTCAAAGCAAACTCTCCCCCTTTATCACTTAGCAGAATGAGAAGCAATAAAATGAAAAGATGACGATCTGGATTCAGACCATTAACAAAACATACTTAAGACTCTTAAGGTACTTCACATTTATTTTTTAGAAATACACCACACTGAGCTTCATCTAAAATATCACTTCTTAGGCAGATAAATGTCTATTTCATGGACAGCTCTGTTCCCCGGTTCCCACAACAAGAGTAGCAGTACACAGTTCAACATGCTGCACAAAGCAAGCACCTGCTGGCTGCTGCTCACTAACAAGCTACATCTTACCAAGGTTTGCTGGGTTATAAGCTAATGCAGTTTTCTAAACCAAAGCTTTGGGATTCTCCAGTTATGCTTTTGAAATAGAACTGTGGTAAAACGTTGCCCAGTAATACCATTTTGAAATATTAAAGTTATAACAATAAATAATAAAATATTTCAGGTCTGAAAAATCTAGCAATAAACTTCAAGGTCAGTCCCCATAGACCTCTGTTTGACTAAATTTCAAAACATTAAAAAAAAATAAAAAATCACATATTAGGTGTACGTTACTAAGACGGGCCAATTTCTATCCATTCTGTGAATTTTTATATGCTGGTATTCAATGTCACCTCAAGTATAATAATCATACAGAGTGTACTCTAATACTAGACTGTTACTCTAAGGAGAGAATATTAGTGGGAAATATTTAAAATACTTAATAACCAGTATGAAAAATTTATAAATCAAAATGTTAAAGTATATTTATTCCCTGATAATCTCTAAATAAGGAAGGGTATGATAAAAATACTTATCAAGTAATACAAGCTGTAGCACCAATCATTTGAAAGAAGTCATTTAATTTCTAAAGCATTTTTGAAAACTGCTGGTATTTTTCATTTCATATGCCTATCACTAGCTATATGATACAGCAAGGTTTGAGCCAACACTGGAATCACAACAAACTTTTCCAAGGAGCTCCCCATTAAATTGATACTAAGTAGGTAACATATCTCAATAAGCAAAGAGTTTCTCTTCACACTAATGATACTGTCCAGTAAATCCTCTCTCTGCTTCAGCTGAACAGTAATTCACAATTTGTCTAGCCCTTATAACACCTTCTGAGAGTTTTATACATTCAACATTTCTATTATGGACTACGTCACAAAAAGAGTTTATTTGCATATCATTTTATTGGTTTAATTGTATTAATTTTGTTTTGCTTCAAATGGTATATAACATTATTTATATAATAACTTCTGCTTTTAAAAGCTTATTTAATTTCAAATATTCAATCACTTTTAATGTTTGCTGAATAACTCAGTCCATTTGAATACCAAAATTTCTTTATAAAGCTACAGAAAGTATTGCTATTTCTGTTGGCATATTGTGTATTGAAGCCAAATCACTCAAAATGCTCATTTTCTAAAGTTTATTCCCATTTTGTAACTTCAGTTTAAATAAATACACAGGCTTGATATAATTTTCAAGCTGCTTTTGTAGTTCTAGCACTGGAGACTGCCCATCGAGGAGGTGCCAAGTGTCTCCACATTTTCATTATTTCAATTCCCATCTCTTCAGATGTACTGCAATTCTCTTTGATGATTATTTCATGTGTGCTAGTAGATATATAGTCTACTGATAAAACATTTTAAGAGATTTGTTTGATCTGTATCTTTTGACACCTCATCCAGGGATAACTGAATATGGTAACTTATACAATGCCATAATAAAATGTCTAGAAACTTTTCTGAAATTTTGGTTGAAACCCATTGTCTCCCTAGCATTACACAGATGCTGTATACACAAAATTCAATAATGTTTTTAATGTAAATATTTCTCACTGAAACCATTTTTCTCAAACAGTAACAATGAAGTTCGATATAGTATTTCAGATGTTATTCCTATTAAAAAAAGATTACAAACAATGTCTTGCAATTCTACTTTGTAAGTACAGACTATTAAAACCCTTACATGAAATAGATGACGTTTCATGAACAGTGATCAAATGTTATTGCCTTATTTTCTAAGTTTAGTAAAATGCTGTTTTCTTATTTCACCGTAAGTTTGAACTGCAATGATATGTTGTACTGACGTATTTTTAGGCCCTCCTAAGTATTCCACAGTTGAAAATGCTCATCTTTAACTAAAAAGCAGGCAGTGCTAAAAATTCTGATGGTACATTCTAAATGCTTTTGTCAATACTGATAAAATTGTCGTTTTAGATTTTAAATGCTTCTTCATGTGAAACTGACTCTGTATATCTTATTAATAACAACACATTCTCCTTACTTGAGCCATGAACTTTAACAAAACATAACTCCTACATGATTAAATATGTAAATGTTTAGCACTTTCAAATTTTAATGATACAACTTTTGAGCACTATTCCCACCTGACAAATATGGCACTAGCAATAATAAGGCAGTCATATTTTTTCATGAAATAATCAAGCTGTTTTCCATTCCATAAATACAAATTATGTTTTATTTTGCATTCACTGTTGCACAGTATCAGAAGATGTTCCAAGCTGCAGTTCATTATTAATATCATTTCTTCTTTGTTCTCCTGCAGATTCAGAAGATTCATGTTTATGATGTTTAAAAGGAATGTTAAGAAATGTATTAAAAGTCTGTCATCTCTCCATTCTTGGTGTTCTATTTAATATTTTATTATAAATTATTAAACTTATAAATATCAAAACTCTGTACAGTATGACTAATTACATAAAAATTATGCACAAAAAATCCCCAAAGTAATTACTAATTACAAAAGAGCATATTAACAGTAAAACCAAAGTAAAAACTAAACTACTTAGATGTAGTAACTGCTACATAATTCATAGATGACGGTAAACTGGTAACTCTTCTAAAGTACAACAGTTCCTATTCTATTCTGTTTATCAACTGATAAGAAAGCCTTTCAACATTTTAATAATTAGTATCACTATATTGGCTTATATTGGCTAAATATCAGCCCTGGATATTAGTCTTAGTTCCTTAATGTCAGCTTCAAATGCATTTTATGAAATACACAGTTAACATATTTTACTGTTTTTCTCAAATCTGTACATTTTATAAAGTAAATAGGCTGACTTTATGCCCAAATTTTGAAATAATATAAATTCCCTGAAATTAAAAATTCATCCAAACTCACATAACTCAAAAACTAACAGGGCAAGTGATTTGTACATTGTACCTATTCTATCGCTAAATGGCCAGAGTCACTTAGTAAAAACAGAGAACGTTCATTATCTTTTTTCAGGATTTTTAATTCAAGATCTTTAGGAAACAAATCCTTCTGGAATGCTTGTTTGTAAGATGACATGTGGACACTCTTCAACTTCATTTGAAACTAGCCACAGTTAAAGCAAAACATGGCAGTAAGGAATTAAGACTCTCTGACTTTCCATCTTTCTTAGGACCATGAAACCTCACCTGTAACTCAGCATCAAGCTTTGTATCAACAAATACTCTATAACTGGTGCTAGCTGGGTTTACAAACAATTTTTTAAAATACCAATTCCCAAAGTACATGTGGAGTAAACACATATAAGAAGCAAAAGGTACCTAACATTTTTTTTGATGGATACTATTTTTAGTCTACTCTTTTCCATTAAATTTTATTCAAACTGAATAAATGCTGAACAAATTTCAAGTGACAAAATTACACTGGGGCAGAGTACACAACTATCAACTTTTTCAACAACACAAACTCTGCCCAACAGAATATACACTGTGCTTAAAAATAAAGACCTTAGTAAGAGGGGCAAGAAGAATAAATCATAGGTCAAAATTAATTTCCTAAATCCAGAAAATTAACAGGAGGAGGTGACTGTATTCCACTAAAAGGGCCCTTCAAAGAGAAGGGAAGTCATGAATTTAAGAGTCACTGGTACTAACTTGCTCAAATTTGATCGACCAAAAAATGTCTGCAAAAACAATGGCTATGTAGGGAGAGAAAAAGAGGGAGGGAGGAAAAAGCTTTAATTTTATAGTAGGGCCTTGGCTGCATACGTCTTGGTACTAAGGTTATTCAAGCAGCCTTGAAGCTTTTAACTGTTGAGTTAACATACATATAAAAGATATCCCTCAATATTAGGCAGAGCTCTAGGGAAACAGCAGGTAGATCCTATTTTTACAGGGTAAAGCTGGTAGGCAACACTGACCTCACAGTACACCAGTATATTCTGAAGTTGTGATGGGATACCAAGAAGTGATGGGCTACTAAAAAAAGTATGAGAAAACAGTCTCCCTAACCTGTGAAGCTTCCATGATAAACGAAGAAAGAGTCTCCCAGTATAAATTCTCTATGAGGAAGAATAAATTCTGTAAAATTTTCCTACTGTATTTCCTCTCATCAAAATCTACAGATTGCTCTATAGTTTAAATGATAGGAACTGAATGTGATATATTTAAAACAGATACTACCTTTACAGGAAGCCTTTCCTTAGCAATTTCCTTAGCATTTCTATTTAAGATATTTAAATTATATTTGCTCCACAGATTAAGATAAAAAGAAATGGTAAAACTTGATAAAAAAACAAAACACCTCTTCACATACCTGGCAAATCTGATGACATGCTTGATATTGGCGTGTGGTGGAATGGTACTGAGTAGTCTGTTAATGAAGGCGGAATAGCAGCAGGATCAACCGAAGTCACACTGGGCACCCTTACAGAAGATGGCTGATACATGAGAACCCTGTTTTAAATAGCACGGGAAATTACAAACAATCTGGCTGTTAGTTCACAGGAGAGAAGGGCTGTACCACTGGGCATTGTCAGTCGTTAAGTTCACTAAGTTTCCAAACAACTATACGGCAGCTACTCACTACACAGTACTCCACTCACTCTCCTCTTTCATAACAGTCTTCACTTTAACATGAACACATGTTGGCTCTCAACAGCAGCTGTGACATAAGAGCACAGGTGGGGCTTCCCTGGTAGCGCAGTGGTTGAGAGTCCGCCTGCCGATGCGGGGGACACGGGTTCGTGCCCCGGTCCGGGAAGATCCCACATGCCGCGAAGCGGCTGGGCCCGTGAGCCATGGTCGCTGAGCCTGCGCGTCCGGAGCCTGTGCTCCGCAACGGGAGAGGCCACAGCAGTGAGAGGCATACCGCAAAAAAAAAAAAAAAAAAAAAAAAGAGCAAGGTGGCGTTAAAACATAATGGACAGTGCTGGAGCAATACATAAAACTTTGATCCACAAACAGGAATATACTCTACATAATGATTTTATTAATGTATATGTAACATGTATGTGAATATTAGTAATTTTATATATAAAGAAATTTAGAAATAAAATAGAAGACTCCTAAGATTCGATTAAAATCAGAGTACCTTTATGAGTGAAGCTACTTACTATAGCTTAAGCATGATTTCTTCCATTCTAATGTGAACTGTATTAATTATTAGCGATCTTATCTGGGAATCACCCAAGCAAAGATAGCCAGTCCTAAAGCCAGCCAGCCTGATAACAACAGGCAGCAATCAGAAATTAGAATAAGACAACTACTCAGGATTTCAGACATAATATCCAGAAATAAAAACACTGGCTACCATGATACCATCTACTCTTCTAAGAGGGCTTACGACTTTGAAATTCGCTGTTCATGCTATGAAAAACACAAATTAAATACACTTAAGATATACTTTATTACTGGTATTTATACATGTACGTATACACACTATATATATAATAATAATAACTTTATAATTTTAAGAAGCAGTATAGTTAAACATATTTTTGAAAAAGTTCAGGAAAAAAGAGAGATGATTTTGCATTCTTCCTACTTAACCTTCATTTTATCTTAGTCCAGGGTAAACAATTAGAAGTTCTCAAGAAAACATCTTGAACATATACAAGAAACTAAGCCATGTTACCGACCCTCTGGCTGATGGTGGCCACCTTTTTGTCCAGCATCTTAGTGAGGCTGCAGTGGTAGCACCTGCTCTCCGAGCTCTGCAATGCCACACAAGGATGACAAGAAAAAGATAGATGCTGGAAAGTCAGCCAAGAAAGACAAAGACCAAAGGCAAAAAATGTGGGACAAGCTCAATAACCTAGTCTTGTTTGACAAAGCCACATAAGACAAACTCTGTAAGAAAGTTCCTGACTATAAGCTTAAAACCCCAGCTGTTGTCTCTGAGAGACTGAAGATTCACAGTTCCCTGGCCAGGGCAGCCCTTCAGGAGCTGCTTAGTAAAGGACCCATTAAACCAGTTTCAAAGCACAGAGTTCAAATAATTTATACCAGAAACCCCAAAGGTGGAGATGCCCCAGCTGCCAGTAAAGATGCATAAACAGGTCCCATCACTGTACATTTTGAAAAGTAAAACTTTACTAAACTGAAAAAAAAAAAAAAAAAAAAAAAAGGAGGGTGGGGGACGGGGACACAGGGACATTAGGTCATTAGGACATTACGGTCAGCATTCCAAAGCGCTGCCAGTAAACTACCGTGAGCTTATTAAGAGAGGCACAGAGCTCTGTAGCTGGAAGGGACCACTACAAAGATGAAGCACAACTGACAGAAACAGTACAACTATCAAAGTTAGACTGAGATGACAAGTAGGACCTCTAGGTGTCCTTTCCCTTGGTTGAAACGTCCTGTTATTGCTCAGATTATTAAATACTAGTAATAAGAAATGATGACATATTTGGATGACATTCTTCATACTCTAAACAACTGACAAAACTATTTCATAACCTCAATTAAAAATCTCAAACCACTTAAATAATCACCACCTATTTAAACACTGGAGTCCCTCTAAAACCAGTTTCCATTATAACAGGAGGCTCTTGTCTAGCTGTTATTCTGTACTATTTGTCAAAAATACAGATGTTGTTGGAAAGGAGGAAAATGAAGTCATCTTGAGAGGACACACATGGCTGTGCTGGCAACTGCTAGTCTCAGAAAAGCAAATAAATAACATAGGTCAGAGTTCAGGAATCTTAAACTGATCCATTTGGGAGGCAAAGGAAATATAACATGCTTGAGACGGTAACATAAACCTCATATTTCAAAACACATTTTCCAGATGTAGATGAAGATGGACAAAAAGAGCAACCTGCCTCGGTTAGAATCAGAAGGTTTCTTGGCCTCCAGTGTTACCTGTCAACCTAAAACCACAAAGGTAGACTCCAGAGGGGGAAAGAGAAAACCTGAGATGAGCTCAAGTACGTATGTTATATTAAAGCACATCTTTTTCTGGAGGTTTGAAGACACTGGTCCTCTACAAGGATGAAAGTAGACCAAAAAATCACCAAAAGTGTTTTCAAATTACAAATGATCCTACCTCCCACACAGGAATGTGTATCAGAAATTGGGGGGGGGGGGGGGGC